TATATATATATATATATATATAATATTAAGAAGATATTTAAATATTTTCAGATTTAAAAATATATTAAATGCAGTAAAAGTAATAAATTGAAAAAATTATCTTTTCCTCTTTAAAAAAAAATTAAGTAATAAAGCTATATATATAATAATTAGGAATTACATACATTTGTTAATTGGCCATATGGAACTGGCCATGTACTTTCGTTATTATAAGGATCATTTGGATACGTTCTTATAGGTGTTCTATCTCCATGTCTATATAACTGTAAAATAAATTGTAATTATTTTTAATAAACAATAACAATAATAATTATTATTATAATTAAGATGATTAATATATATTTCAAGTTGCTTTATGAAGAAAATCTAAATTACATAAATTTTAGCTATACGAATATTTGGAATGTAAAATATAATTAATTAATTTCAAAGTGTTTTTTAACTTACAACATTTGCAAAAACGACAGTTCCAAAATCTATATCTTCAGCATGTAACAAATCCGTAATAAAGAAAACCACGATTATCAAGACAAATAAATTTTTTTTCATATTTTCAGTATAATGTATAATTGACATATATTTTTGAGTTACTAATAAAAATCTTTATAGAAATTAAATAAGACAACAATCTATTGATTACTGCAACCTGTAGGATGCTCTAAACTCTAAGCATTCTAATATTTGTTACAACTGTTATGTCACTTTCATCAGCAGTGTCACTTATATAAAACATATATAAAATACAAATCAAGCAATTTAAAAAGATTCTTATGTTATAAAATTTGTGATATTTCGTTGTTGCCAATATTAGTTTCCATTTATTTCTTATTCGTACCCTATTGAAATAAGAATAAGGTTATTTATACAATGGTATTCATGATAGATTGTTTTTAAAAATTTATTTTATTTTACCCATTTAGAATATTGGTTTTCATCCAAATTTTAAATTTTTGATATAAATGATATAAATGATGGAAACAAAACTTTAATGATTAAAATGTAATTTGTAATTCGAATACGAATATTCATTAATTCTTTATCTATGCTTGATAAATTATCTTGCGATATTTTGAAAGAATATTACATAATTGTAAATAAATAAAGTAATTACAAGTAATCATTAACTAATTACAAGTAATTACAAGTAATCATTACCATATAATCGTTGTAAACTAATGGTTTTTTTCATTATAAAAGACAAATTTATTTAATTATAATCTGTAAAAATAGATCAACAGGAACAAAGTTTTCTTTGTAACAAAATTTTATTTTAGACTAATCAATTAGATACAATACAATTGGAAAAAATGTGGGTTGGCAATTTGTTTGTTTATGGCAATATTTTGTTTATCTCATTGAAATTGTACAAAGTGAAAAATATTACGAAAAGACAATCATTATTATTATAACTGCACCAGTTAATAAAACACTTGTAAAAAATAACTACAAATAATAATTATTACAAATATAAGTAACGCTTGTACATTTTTACATAATATCTGTACAGGATTTCATATGTACTTTCAATTTAAAATTAATTGATGAAACTGAAAGGAAATCTTTATAATGTTATTTAGTATAATGCTATCCTAAGTAAATTATAATTTGTTTTAGAAAAGTTGCACATTTTAATAAATTGTATCTTTTTACCTTTAATGTGAATGTACAATATAAAATTTGTATATAATCTTCGTTTCTATATTACAATATATGAATAAACATTACTATTTATGATACATATAAATTATTTTAGATATCTAAGATATATATACACACACACACATATATATATATATATATATATATCTACTGATTTTTAATATATAAACATACAAGGAGTAATCAAACTCTTAAATTTTCTTATGTTTAAAATAAATAAAGTTTCATGTATAATCACTGTACATATATTTATATGTAAACAATCGATAGAACAAATTTTAAAAATTTTGTTCAATTACTTTTTAATTAATTTAATTTATATCAATCAGGAATCACATCGTAGTTTTGACCATATATGCGGTTAGATTGTAGAATTTACTTGAATCATATTAAAAAATGTCTATATTATTTGAATTCAATACTAATTTGAATCCATCATCTAATAGCAAATAGTAGAATATACTTTGAATAAAATAATAATAATGTTTAAATCACAGCCTTCGCTGACGATAACGTTGCGTTAAAGAAATCAAAAATTGCGCTATGAACGGCCATAGGATTAAAACAGTAAATAATCGCGGCGAACACTCTGGTAAAGGCCACCATTTTGGGTATGAAGTTGCTGTAGACTGCTTCTAGAAAAATTATATATTTTACATCGAAGGAAATAAAAATAAGATAAAAATTTTATTTTATTTATTTACACATACTATTGATGGTGTCAATGCTTGTAATGTTTGACCCTCTAAATTGCGCACTCGAGCTGTTATTCTATCTAAATCTCTTTGTAAGTTCTGCATAGTTATAGCTATTTGATTGAAAAATTCATCAGTGGATTTTTCTTTTTTAATATACTGTTTATTTCTTTCTTGTTTATTTTCTGTATATCCATTTGTACTCGCATATCCATTAATTAATTCTGAAGAGTTCTCTTTTTGAATAATTAAGTCATTATTTTTATCAGCAGAAATATTTAAGCCATTAATCATTTTCTGGGTAATATTAATTGTTTTTGTTGTGTCTTTTTGTATTCGTTCTGGAGCTGACTGTGAGTAAGAAAAATCAATCTCAATTATGTAAGTTAAGAATAAAGATAATGTTTAATACATTATCTATAATACAAGTAGCTTACTTCAACGGTATCTATAAATTCGTCTTCACCGTCGGTATCTGGTGGACTTGCACTATGGCTAGTAGCTGGGCTTGTTTCTAAACTACTTGCAATGTGCCGAGTAATATTGCAAATTCTATGTGGTGATGTCTCTCTTGATGCTGTATAAAAAAAAACTTATTACAAGAATTAAATTGATTTAAACTTTTCTATTTTTCGTTCATTAGTATTTTGCTTATTAGCACAAGCTTTGATTGTTTTATTAATTATTAGATCAGCAAATAAAACAAAATATATTTTTACAAATACAAACCCAAGGGAGAACCAGATAATGGCATTCCAGGTTGTGAACGCATACGTTCCAATACAGGACCAAGAAGTAATTCTAAATCTTCAGGTGGAACACTTTCACAAAATGAATCTAGACTGTCTAGAAAATTAGCTACTTTGTCTGTATAAGACATTGTTTCTACAATCTATTAAATTATGTACAAATATTAAATTATACTCAAATACTCTATGATATTCAATAAAATTATAATATAATTTCTATAATCAACCTTTTTTAATTCTTCTACATAATTATTCATGGCTTCTGTTTTGCTCATGTTGCCCAATCGTGTCCAAGCTTCCCATTTTGCTTTTTTAACCACTTCCCAGAAAGCTGGCTTTGGTTGTTGACATGGTCCTTCTATTGCTTGTTTGTAATATGCATAAAAACGCAGCATGATTTCATTGCTAGGTTGATATGCACCTAAAACATAAATTATTATCAATAATATGTTTATTATTGTAATTTTATTAATGAACAATTTTAGTTCCATATGAAATTATAAGACTTATGTTTTTTGCATTCAATGCAGAAAAATTTGCGCCAATGTTGTTTATATTAATTGCGACACTGTAAATTCTTATTAGATTAATAATATTTTAATTGTACAATTTTTGATCAAAGAATCAAAAGATGTTATAATGTATTTAATTATCATATATTGTAAAAAAAATGTAAAAACTTTAAATAAATTCTTACAATATTACATATTGTTTAATCAATAAAAGTTCAATTTTTTTAATAAATTTTCTTATTTATATTTAACAAAAAATATATAAAAATTTGTGATAAATATCAGAAAAAATGATAATCGTGAAAAATAATAGACATATTGTGATCATTCAAAGAACATTTTAAATACAAACTACAAATTTATCTATTTCTATTCTGTTAGAAAGTGAAATGAGAACACTCACACATTCACTTGTATTAAATGGAAAGTATGTACATATTTATGAATTTAATGATAGTAAAAATGTATTATGGTCAAAACAATATCAAAATTTAATTTTCTACTTGTATAAAACAAAAAAAATTTCTTTTTTACAAAATTTATGTTCATAAATTATACACAAAAACAAAATTAAAATAATTATAAACATTTATGCAATGAAATATACTCGTATGTTACAAAACGTAAGTTAATACAAAATAAAAAATTCTTACTATTTCATTTTGCACAAATATCTAAAATTGCATACAATTAGCGAAAAACATATTTCAATAATTTTCAAATTTAAAATATACAGATAACATATTATCAATAATTTGAATACATTGCAGAAATGTAAGAAAATAATATTTTTGTTTTCTACTTTAACAGAATAAACAGATAAATATTTTACGAGATCAAGATATGAACTTTGTACGATTATTTCACAAATATTTTTATATAAAAAGCAAATCTCATAAATATAGTTGCTGTTAATTAAATAACCAATTTAACAAGTTTTATAGTAAAAAAAAAACGGGAAAAGAAAAAAAAACAAAACATAACGTATAACAAATCGTGTTAATCACGTAAAGCGCTTTGCGCGAAGCATAATAAAATAACATACGAGATGGGAATACGATTAAGTATATTGCTCAAAAATAGCATTTGACAACTTGACGACTGATGATATTAACGTCATAATTTATTTTGAATGTTTGAGAAAATTTACCATTCTTTGGTAAATTCCTGATCACATTAACAGCCGCCTGAAACTGTTCTTCCGTCGTCATGGCAAGATCTGTAGCTTTGAACAGATAGGTATTCACACTCACTTTGCTATAACCTTATTTTTTTCTCAGTTAATTATCAATCACTTTCAATGATTTGAAGTATTTGTTTTCGATCAAATAACAAATGTAAAAAAAAAAACTAACTCGATGTTTTTCAAGTTATATGGAAAATTAAGTTAAAAATAAGGCATATAGCGATAGAATGACAGATCACCGATTGATGACTGGCGATCGTCCTGTGATCATACACGCATGATGGCGCATGCGCGTTAAATGATCGTCGAGCAGTTTAACGCTTTTTTTCACCTGTTTACTATTAATGCCACTATTTTCTGAATTTTGAACCTCTTAAAAGGAAAAAGCATAGTTTTCAGTATGTTCATTGATTGATTATTTTGCCTCTTGATGTTATGTTCCTATAACAGGGTAATTAATTTGTATTAACAGGGTAATTCACGTTATGAAAGTAATGTATAACGAATATCTTTTTAATGCAGTTTCTCTTTTCTATGATAAATGGAAATTATTATTATTTATTAGATAAAATAAAAAAATGAAATTTACATATATAAATGGTAGTTATTGAGTTTGACAGTCTGTCTTGTGTTTTATTTATTATTTTTATGTAGAAATAAAATATTATTGAAAAATGCCTATTGTATTGTTATAATTATCAAAAAAATGTGAATTTTATAATTTTTAATAAAATTTTTGAAATTTTTTTAATAAAGAATTGTTAATTTTTAATCATTATCTATGATACACAATCTGTGATGATAGGTTGTTTTCGAAATGATAATTGTATTAAGATATAAATTTTTATATTTTTACAAAGAAAATTATTAATTATTAATAATGAATACATATTTATAAAAGAAATACACATTTATAAAAGAATACACATTTATAAAAGAAATTGATCATTCTTTTAACCTCTTACAGCGTTACAAAACTTAATATTTAACTTCATGCGCATGCGTGAACGATTACATTTTTATAAATTCAGAAATATATTAACAGTTCAGGTGAGTGAATGTTATTAATTTTATTTGTTAAAAATAAATTCAGTTTATGATATTTCAATTTCATCAATATTTAGATTTATCTGTTATTGAGGTTATGATTGATTTTTATTATAGAGATATTATAACAGATAATTTATATAGAATTTGTAAATCTTTAATTTTATGGTTATCGTAAATTGCTTTTATGTAAAAAAAAAAAAATAATATGTTTTCTGTATACATATACATAAAAAAGAATATTGGAAAATCTATATATCATACGTAAGTTGAAAGAAATACATATTTTTAAACATATTTACAATTTTTATAACAATCAATGTATCTTCTGCAGAAGATTATCATTTATATTTTATTTTATAGGTTAAACTTTTTAAAGTAGAAATGGTTTCAATTGGCCGTGGTCGTGGTTGGGCTCAAAATGATAGAAATACATTATCAAAACCAGGAAAATCATTATATTCCGATGATATGATTTATGTAAATCTTATTAGTCTCATTAATCTTGTTAATAATGAAAATGTAGCACAAAAAACTGAAGATGTTGTGAAATTGATTAACGAGAAAGTGAATAAGGAAAACTTGAAGTAATTTTTGCAAAATGTTTAGTTTTTATAAACATTTTATTAATTTTTGCTTTGAATTTAATTGATTTTAACTGATTGCAGAGAGATACACGACAAACTTTACTCATATGCTTTAAATAATAGAGACTTTGGGATGAAATTACTAATGGTATATAATTATCCTATAATTAAAAACATATGCGATTCTGAAGGTGTAAGTTTATATAAGCACTTAGTGAAACGATTTCAAATTGATTATGAAAGTAGGTATTACTACGTATATTTTAATTAGAAGCTTATAACTTGAAATTTATTTACTTGAAATTTATTTACTTGTTAATTCATCTTTAATTCTGTAAATTTAGAAAGGAGAGATCTAAGGAAAGAAAATGCAGTTCAATTTCATAATGCTGTTGTCTTATTTTCTAAATATTTAAGTTATATCGTACATTCGTCATGCAAGTTCCTCGCATTACAATCTGCATTAATGGATTATATGGAAATGTTGTTAGAAACAGGTTCTTCAGAGGACATTCAAGTTTTTACAGAACAAGTATATATTTGAAGTTCAAATTTTAATTTTGTACTTGACTATAGTTTAACTACTTTGACATTATATTTTCAGCTCATTGTACATGGAAATAACTTACATAGTAGTTATAAGGAAAAATTAGAAGATTTAATGATCACTGCAAGACAAATGTTGATTAAACAAAATCTTTCTTTTATATCTCGCCAATTTTTATTGTATGCAATAGATTTAGAGAGTAGAAATTTTAATCAGTTGCCTAAATATTTACAGAAATTTTACAAGTTGCAATTGAGTAAAAATTTTAAAGAAGAGGACAACGATATCGTTAATTCTTTATCAAATATAAATGTAGAAGATGGTAATTACAAATAAAAATTTAGTTCAAAAAGATATTATTTTTGTTTCAGAGAATAGTTTGATAGTTATCACTCAATATTTTATTAAAGATATGAATGAGACTTGATTAATTTTAGAGCATCTTTCTTCAATGAATGAACCTAATGATCAGAAATATACATGTGCAAATAGTCGAGGTTTAAGAGCAATTCGAGGTTTGGGAGCGGTAGATGTTGCAAAATAAAAAATAATCCTATTATGTATATGTAAACAGAATACTAATATAAAAATTAACAAATCAAACTAATAGAAACAGGTTATATACGTTCTTTATTTTAATTATTTGAGTTTATTTGAAGAACAATGTAACGTTAATAATAATATCTCGATGTTTCAGGTATTTTCCGATGAAGACTGTACATATTTTATAAATAACAAATATAAATTAAACAACTTAGAGTGTTTTTGTGTTTTAAATTAATTATATTATAAATATAAAATTCCCAAAAACATAATTTCTATGATTAATTTGAGCAGAATAATGGAGCAAAAAGTTCATTCGAAATTTATAATGTTTATTAATAAAAAGAAAAAGTATTATATTATCTATTAAATTTTATATTGAAAATATAAATATATATTATAAATGTATGTAATATTGAAGCAATGTATTCTGATATTCAATTTATATACAAAATGAATTAGTAATTTATTTAAATATAGTGGATCTTTCTCTTTTATTTAAAATAAATGTTAATTATTTAATGTTAATTATTTTTTATTTAATTATATAATGTTAATTATTTAATTATTTAATTATTTAATCTTAATTATTTTTAAATTATGTAATTATCAACAATGAAAGTATTATTTTTTATTCTTTATTGTTTTCAAGATGTAAATTGTTATATATCATGTATTTTCATATATTTATATATTTTTTTATTATATGTTTATATATTTTTTATCGAATAAATACATTTTTTTCAATTTTTTCTCTTTGATTATTTCTTTTTCTTAAAAGTTAAATAAGATAGCTGCAAAAGTAAAATTTAGCCGGGTGAAGATCGTAATTTTAAACTCATAAATTTGGAAAAGATGAAGTGATAAAAAATAAGAAACTACAGTCACAGACGAGGTATATGAATAGACATTATATCTTACGGCTTTTGTGGCCCGTGACCTGAAATACCGACACACTAAAAAATCATATAGCGACAGCTACGCCAGCGACATCTGTTTCTCGGCAATATCGAAGAGTCTATTTTGGATGAAAGTTTTGGCGCCGGTTTTGCCGGGCTCTAAAGCGGAAAAATAAACAAAGATCGGTGTCGCTACGGAGATGTTCGTAGGTGGTTGCTACAGAGATTCGACGAGTTTGCCAGCGTACAAACAAGAGTCGCAGGGTGGATAACAACGGAAGAATGTAAGAATATAAGAATATAACAAAATATAGAGACAAAGAACGTGAGAAGAGAATAGACGCAACATCGAACATCGCATCGTATGTTCCAAAGTAAAAGCGTGTTAATCTTATCGTTAAATTACAACGGTATTAAATAATTGTTATCAAATAAAAATATTAACAACAAATTGCACAGTTCCTCTCGTAGTACAATGAATCGCTAATTTACCGACCATCGTACCTACGCATCGAGACGCCCTGCGGCGAACGAGCGGCAAACCCGTCGTACGATATTCGTTCTTTGGCAACTATCGAGAGACGAAAGAAACGAGTTTCGCGGAGATAAAGTTCGACGTCCAAGGTTCAAAGTTTCCAAGTTCGAGATGTTCAAAGTTCAAGAGTTTCAAGTTCAAAACCGCAAGTTCGACACTCGCAGGTTCGAAATTTTCAAACTTCAACGTTTCCAAGTTGGACTTTTGCGAGGTTCGCGATTTTTATGTTCAAATCTCGTCAGTTCCACGTTTCCAAGTTCAAATTTCTCCTGGTTCGATCATTTCGGGTTCGAAGCTCGTAAGTTCGACGTTTTCAAGTTCAAGATTCTCAAAATTCGACGTTTGTAGGTTCGAAATTTTACAAGTCGGAGAATTGAAACTTTAAAATTTTGCAAATTCTAGAATTGAACGTTCCCAATTTCCCGAGTTCGAGAATTGAAAGTTCGAAATTTGCAAGCTCAAGAATTGAAAATTCAAAATTTCCATGTTCAAAATCTTCAAAGTTCAAGTTTTTCATGTTCCAATTTTGCTAAGTTCGAGAATTGTGAGTTCCAAGTTTAAAAGTTGAACGATTTTCAAGAAAACGGGAGAGGCAACATTGAACGCGCACGTCTCGTTAGTTCCGCACGCGACCCACAGATGGCGCCACCATGTCCAACCGAGAGCGACAACCGAATCAGCGGTAAATCGTCATACGATTTTCATTATTTGCCAACTATTGCTATGAGAAATTTCACAGCGACAAAGTTCGACGTTCCCAAGTTCGAGAATTTGAGATTCCAAATTTAAAACATCGATGATTCGAAGTTCGAGTTATTTAAAGTTCAACATTTTTAGGTTCAAACTTTAAAAGTTCGACATTCTTAGGTTCAAAATTTTCAAACTTCGAGGTATTTAGATACGAAATTTTCAAAGTTCAACGTTTCAATGTTCAAATTTTTCGAAGCTCGAGAATTAAAAATTAAAAATTCCTCAAACTTCGAGAATTGAAAGTTCAGAATTTTGCAAGTTCGAGAATTAAACGTTCGAAGTTCGCAGGTTCGCAATTTTCAAAGTTCGAACTTTCCCAATTTCGAGAATTTCAAGTTCAACGTCGAAAGTTCGAGAATTTACAGTCAAAGGTCGCAAGTTCGAGAATTCAGAGTTCGAAAGTTAAAAGTTCAAGTTGAACCCAAATTCTCGAACTTTCAATTCTTGAACTTTTAAACTTTGAACTTTCAATTCTCGAAGCTTCAAACTTTGAAGTTTCAATATCCGAACTTTCAAAATTCTGAACTTGAAATTCACGAACTTTCGACCTTGAACTTGAAATTCTCGAACTTTGAAATGTCTGAACTTGGAAAATTTCGAACCCGCAAATTTTGAACTTTTGATTCTCGAACTTGGAAAATTTTGAATTTTCAATTCTGGAACTCGCGAAATTCCGAAGTTTCAATTTCTGAACTTTTAAATTTTGAACTTTCAATTCTCGAACAGCTGACGTTGAACCTCGAAATTCTTGAACCTGGAAAGTCTCGAACTTTGAAAATTTCGAGCCCGCAAATTTCTAACTTTCAATTCTCGAACTCGCGAAATTTTGAAGTTTCGATTCCTGAAATTTTAAATTTCGAATTTGAAATTCTCGAACTTTTGAACTTTGAACTCTAAATTGTCGAACTTTTGAGCTTGAACTTGAAATTCTCGAACTTTCAAACTTCGAACCTTGAAACACTCGAAGTTTGAAAATTTCGAACCTGCGAATTTCGAAATTTCGAGTCTCGAACTCTCAAAATTTCGGACTTTCAATTTTTGAACCCGCAAAATTTGAAGTTTCAATTGTCGAATTTTGAAAATTTTGAACTTGAAATTCTCGAACTGTAAATTGTCGAACTTTCGACCTGGAACTTGAAATTCTCGAACTTTCAAAATTTGGAAGTTTCAATTCTCGAACTTGCAAGATTTTGACCTTTCGATTGTTCAAATTTTGAATGTTGAACTTTCAATTGTTGAAGTTTTAAGTTCCGAACTCTAAATTGTCGAACTTTTGACCTTTCAACTCTGAATTGTGGAACTTGCGACCTTGAACTTGAAATTGTCGAAGTTTGAGAATTTGGAGTCTGCAAATTTCGAACTTTGAATTCTAGAACTCGCGAAATTTCGAAGCTTCGATTCTCGAAGTTTGGATTCTTGAACTGTAAATTTTCGAACCTCGAACTCTGAATTTTCGGACTTTTGACCTTAAAGTTGGAAATTCTCGAACTTTCAAACTTTTTGAACCTCGAAATTCTCGAACCTCGAGAAGGTTGAACTTTTAAAATTTCGAACCTACAGATTTTGAACTTTGAAAATTTTGGACTTTCAATGTTTGTACTAGCAAAATTTGAACTTTGAATTCTGGAATTTGAAGTTCTCGAAGTTGGAGATTCTGAAACTTGGAAATTGTCGAAGTTTGAAAATTTCGAACTTGCAAATTTCGAATTTTCGATTGTCCAACTCGGAAGATTTTGACCTTTGAATTCTTCGACTTTTAAATTTTGAACTTTTGATTCTCGAAATTTCAATTGCCGAACCATGAATTCTCGAACTTTTGAACTTTGAACTCTGTCTCCGAACTTTTGACCTTGAACTTGAAATTCTCGAATTTGCGACCTTGAACTATGAAATTCCCGAACTTTTAAACCTTGAACCTCGAAATTGTCGAACCTGGAAAGACTCGAAATTTGAAAATTTCGAACCTGCGAGTCTCGAAGTTTCAATTCTTGAAACTGCAAATTTCAAAGTTTCGATTCTCGAAATCGCGAGATTTCGAACTTTCGATTCTCGAAGTTGCGAAGTTTTAGACTTTCAATTTCCGAACCTGCAAGATTTGAGGTTTCAATCGTCGAACTTTCAAAATTTTGAACTTTCGATTCTCGAACAGCTGACTTTGAACTCGAAATTCTGGAACTCGCTACCTTGAACTTGAAATTCTCGAACCTCGAAGTTCTCGAACTTCGAGCTTCTAGAACCTCGAACTTTTCCAACTTCCACAATTCCAAGTTCGAATTCTCAAAGTTCGACAATTTCCAACTTCGAGAATTTAGAGTTCAAGGTCGCAAATTGGAGAATTTACAGTTTAAAACTCAAAAGTCCAAAACTTTCAAGTTGAAAGTTTAAAAGTTCGAGAATTTCAAGCTCAAATTTTAAAATTTCGACAATTTCAAGTTCAGAATTTAAAAATTGAGGAATTGAAAGTTCAAAATTTCGCGAGTTCAAGAATTGAAAGTTCGAAAGTCGCAGATTCGAGAATTCAAACTTCAAAATTTGCAGGTTCGAAAATTTTCAAAATTCGAGCTCTTCGAAGTTCGAGAATTTCGACGTTCAAAGTTTGAAAGTTCAAGAATGTCCAAGTTCAAGGTCGAAAGTTCGAGAACTTTGAGTTCAAGGTTAAAAGTTCGAGAATTTAGAGTTTAAAGTTCGAAAGTTCGAAAGTTTAAATTTGGAGAATTGAAAGTTCAGGAATTGAAAGTTGAAAATTTAAAACTTGGAGAATCGAAAGGTCAAAATTTTGCGAGTTCGAGAATCGAAAATTTGAAATTTACGGGTTCGAAATTTTCAAAATTTCAGAATTTCGAAGTTCGAGAATTTCAACTTAAAGGTCGAAGTTTCGAGAATTCAGAGCTCAAGGTCACCTGTTCCGAGAATTGAAAGTTCGAAATTTGAAAATTCGAGAATCGAAAGTTCGAGATTTGCGAGTTCCAAAATCGAAAGTCCAAAATTTCGCAGGTTTAAGAATTGAAAGTTCGAAATTTGCGGGTACGAAACTTTCAAAGTTCAACTTTTTCCAGCTTCGAACTTTGAAAGTTCGAGAATTTCGAAGTTCAAGGTCGCAAGTTCGAGAATTTCCAAGTTTAACATCAAAAGTTCGAAAATTTGAAGTTCAAAGTTTAAAAGTTTAACAATTTGGAGTTCGAAATTTCAAAGTTCGAGAATCGAAAGTTCGAAATTTAACGTTTGAAGAATCGAAAGGTCAAAATTTTGCGAGTTCGACAATTGAAAATTCGAAATTTGTGAGTTCGAAATTTTTAAAGTTCGACAAGTTCGAAGTTCCGAAATTTCAAGTTCAAGGTCGCAAGTTCGAGAATCTAGAGTTCAAAGTTCGAAACTTCAAAATTTTCAGGTTCAAAGTTCAAAAGCTCGTAAATTTCAAGCTCAAACTTTAAAATTTCGACAATTTCAACCTCGGAAAATCGAACAATCGAAAGTTTAAAATTTCGCAAGTTCGCGAATCGAAAATTTCAAATTCACACGTTTCAGAATCGAAAGTTCGAGACTTCCAGGTTCTAAATTTTCAAAGTTCGAGTTTTTCGCGGTTCGAGAATCTCGACGTGCAAACTTTGAAAGTTC